GTCTTCTAAACCTTCCCTTTCAACCTTGCTGTCATGTGACAAATCGTCTTCATCTTCTGTCATAAATCACCTACGACACTCACCTCCATCAGTTCCATCCTGCCTGCACCCTGAATGGCCCTCAAATACTTGACTGCCACTCCTGACCACCTCGTACAGTACCACAGTTCCTACAAAGTCGCCGTATTATACTGTATGCTTTCTCTAAATTCACAACACCACAGTGCCTGCAGCCCTATGAACTTCTCTATTAATACTCTCAAAGCAAACGTGCACCTGTATATGAGAGATGAAAAAAATACATCTCTTAATATTAAAGATCACCGTCATGGTGAGAGTGAATACGACTTTACATTTGTGGTTTTGCCTTAAATTATGTGAGAGTGGACACTAAATGGACCTACCTATTCCAAATCTGATTTTGTGTGCCAGCCTTAATCTTTAACAACCTTTAGTCTCTATTTCAATGCCTGAGTATGTACGGTGATTGTTACTTTTTTTTTCACTTCCTTGGCCTGTTGGAGGACAGTTTAAAGAGCATGGAAATAAACCCTACCAACTACCTTCACAAATGGATCTGTGCTCTCCAACCATGGAGGTACAACATATTTGCATTTGGTATTTCTGTGAATGTGCCAACAGCAAACTGCTGCTCACCTGTTCTTGTGTAGAGGGATATAGACCAGCACAAGCAGAGTGACCCCTGTCACAGTGGCCAGGACTGAGCGCATCCAGAAACTCAGCTGACAGAAGTTACAATACTGGATGATGGCCAGGATGGTGGCACAGCACAGAAACATAGTCACCTGGAGGACGACAATGGTAATGTTGGTTGAACACAAAATCAACGATGGACATACATATGTAGTTGAGATGAATTTTGCTTTAGATTTTTATGTAAAATCCATCAGTTTTTAAGGCCAGTCCCTGTTGACTGACAAGGCTGACAAACAAACGGCCAAAGTGAACATTTTTACTGATCTGCTCAAACCTTTGTCTTGGAGAATGTCTGTGAAGTGACAGCAGTCTGACAGCAGTTTGTGAGTTTTCCTACGCAGTTCAGTTTCTCATTGTCCTCAAGGGTAATTTATTTAGCAGTAGTTCTGTTTTGATGTGGCAGTTTAATAAAACACCTGCAGAAGTCTCTGAAGCCGCTGAACACTTTAATGTCTTTTCTCACTTTTTAATCCAATAAATCCAATAAAAATCTGTTCAATGAATTCCTCTGCAATGCATGATTTTCAATTTTTTCCTTCTGTACAAGGAGTTTGCTTCATTTACTTGTTTTCTACCTTGACCAACTACACACACGTACCTGGAGGGGCTGGTGGACGCTGCATGTGAAATGAGATAAGACAGAGATGGCAGGAAGGGACACCAACACCGCCCCGATCACATGTCGAGGAACCCATCCAGAGACTGCCAGGAGCAGGGAGTGTGTACAGTGCATCACCTCCTCCAAATAGAAGGCCATACTGTAGGAGAAAAGAGAGTAGAAAAAAACAAGTCAATGAGATGAGAGAAAAGGGGGGAGAAGAGAGGAGGGGAGAGAAAAGGGGGGAGAAGAAACAACATCAAGGTCCTTGTTCTCGTCTTATATACATTAAAAGTAATTCAACACGCTGTCAAAAACACAAACTCATCTCCATGTTCTTACCGTATGGACAGCACAAGTGAGGCCAGCTCAAAGAGACCAGCCAAGGGTGGTACAGCCAGGGCAGCTGGAGAAGGAGAGCCCACAGTAGCTGGACTAACCAACGGCGGGAGGAAGCAGGCCAGGGCGAGGGCCAGGAAGACAAAACAGCTGAGCAGCACATCCAGGAAAGAACTGAAGGTGGAGCTTGCAAATGTTTGCACCTGAGCCCGTTTTCTCACCTGGAGGCAAAGAGAGATATGACGATGAAAGAAATTGATATTTAA